TTCAGCTGTGCATGGTGGCTCACCCCTGTAATCCCAGCACTTTGGGAGGCCGAGGTTGGCAGATCACCTGAGGTCAGGAGTTTGAGACCCTCCTGGCCAATGTGGTGTAAACCCCATCTCTACTAAAAATACAAAAATTAGCTGGGTGTGGTGGTACGCGCCTTTAGTCCCAGCTACTTGGGAGGCTGAGGCAGAAGAATCTCTTGAACCAGGGAGGCAGAGGTTGCAGTGAGCTGAGATTGTACCATTGCACTTCAGCCTGGGTGACAGAGCAAAAACTATCTCCCCCACCCCCCGCCCAAAAAAAGGCAAGGGTTGAGACGTAAAAGTCAATATGACATCTGCACATAGGCTCTCAGTATTTCCTTTTCCTTCTGTATGGTGGTTACTTTTTGTCAGCATTTTCTATCTCTGACTACCCACTTTGGTTTTCAAAGTCAAGATTTATTTTTTTATTTACATAATTTTTTTTTTTAGATCTATGGGTTCGGCCGGGCGCGGTGGCTCAAGCCTGTAATCCCAGCACTTTGGGAGGCCGAGGCGGGTGGATCACGAGGTCAAGAGATCGAGACCATCCTGGTCAACATGGTGAAACCCCGTCTCTGATAAAAATACAAAAAATTAGCTGGGCATGGTGGCGCGTGCCTGTAATCCCAGCTACTCAGGAGGCTGAGGCAGGAGAATTGCCTGAACCCAGGAGGCAGAGGTTGCGGTGAGCCGAGATTGCGCCATTGCACTCCAGCCTGGGTATCAGGAGCGAAACTCCGTCTCAAAAAAAAAAAAAAAAAAAAAAGTAGATCCATGGGTTCTCTGTTTGCCCAGGCTGGTCTCAAACTCCTGGCATCAAGTGATCCTCCTGTCCTGACCTTCCCTAAAGTGGGGGGATTACAGGTGTAAGCCACCATGCCTGGCTTCAGAGTCAAGATTTCTTTACTGATGTGGAGTTTCAACAGAAAGTAACCAGTTATGAAATTAATTTGTTATCAAATTCATATTAGAGCAAACTTAATCTTGTGGATTTCACATTTTGATAATTTCAGGGTAAGCATTACCTTACTGCACCTTTGCTTTTCTACCTATTTTGTGTTGTATAGCATCAGATGCTATAAATGACAACCACTGAACAAATTTGCCTTCATGGTGCTAAAAGGACTAGGATTTTAACAAAATTGTCATAATCATTTTTTTAATTTTTGGCAATAGGGTTACACTCTGTCGCCTAGGCTGCAGTGGTACAGTGGAACAATCAGAGATCACTGCAACCTTGATTTGCCAGGCTCAAGCCATTCTCCTGCCTCAGCCCCCCCAAGTAGCTGGGACCACAGGCGTGTGCCACCATGCCTGGCTAATTGTTTTGAATTTTATTATTTTATATATATTTTTGAGACGGAGTCTCTCTCTGTTGCCCAGGCTAGAGTGCAGTGGCTTGATCTTGGCTCACTGCAACCTCTGCCTCCTGGGTTCATGCGATTCTCCTGCCTCACCTTCTTGAGTAGCTGGGATTACAGGCATGCACCACCACACCCAGCTAATTTTTGTAGTTTTAGTAAAGATGGGGTTTCACTGTGTTGGCCAGGCTGGTCTTGAACTCCTGGCCTCAAGTGATTCACTTTGGCCTCAGACTCTTCACAGAGCTGATACATAGGTGTGACTCACCACACCCTGCCTGTTTTGAATTTTAGTAGAGACAAGTTTCACTATGTTGCCCAGGCTGATCTTGAATTCCTGACCTCAAGTGAGCCTGGCCATCACCCCCAGTTCATTTTTTTTTTTTTAAAGTAATTTATTTAGTAGCCTTACAGTTCACAGGGCTTCCCTATACATTATCCTCCTTCATTTGAGGAGAAGGAATCATTTTAGAATCTTTGTTTCCGTGCTCAGAGCAGGAACTCTTAGGAAGCAGGCTAGTGGGCTTTTTGAGGGTGGGTGATGAGGCTTCATAAAATGGTAAAACAAACCAAAAAACACGTCTTTTGCTTCAATTTTTTTTTTTTTTTAAATACAGAGTCTTGCTCTGTCACCCATGCTGGCGTGCAGTGGCACTATCCCAGCTCACTGCAACCTCTGCTTCCTGGGTTCAAGCAGTTTTTCTGCCCCTGCTTCCCAAGCAGCTGGGATTATAGGTGCCCACCACCATGGCTGGCTAGTTTTTTGTATTTTTGGTAGAGATGGGGTTTTGCCATGTTGGCCAGGGTGGTCTAGAACTCCTGACCTCAGGTAATCTGCCTGTATCAGCCTCCCAAAGTGCTGGGATTACAAGTGGGAGCCACCATGCCTGGCCTGCTTCAGTTTTTTTGCTTTAAATTTTTTTTTTTTTTTTTTTGCTTAATGTCTCATTTTTTTCTTTATTTGTAGGCAGGTATTGTTTTCTTTCTAGAAGTTGTTCTTTGTCCTTGCTTCTGAAGAACACATTTATCTTGCTATTTCTTAAATTCTTTGTTTCCTTTTTGTTCATAGTTTTTAAAAATGATCTTTCATTCGCTACTTTTCTTAAAATGTTTGATGATTATTAATATTTAAGAATGATGCAGTAAAAAGTTGTTTGAGAGTTACGTGTATGTGAACAGTGCTTATTGAATGGCTGTTAATGTAGTAGGACCTTGAAAAACCAAATATCTTTTGGTGCCAGAACCCATATTTGCTCCTTATTTATGTTTTTGAGAGAATCTACCTTTCCTTTTTGTTTTGGTGGTGTTATGTTTATGTGTTAGTTCTTACTCATGTAGACTATTGTGCGTTCAGATTTTTCAGTTACTTCTTTTCAATCCCAGTTCCCACTCTGCCGTTTTTTGTATCCGCAGTTTTACAGTCCTAGATAATTTCAGCATTCTAGGGAGCCAATCAGTTTCCCACTGTATTCTACCTCCCACATGTATTCTAGGCCTTGGCTTTCATTGTTTTGTTTTATCAGTTATGCTTCCATTTACCTCATTCCAAAAATTTCATGAAGTGTCTCATGGCCTTTTCATTATCACAGTTTTATTTCTTTATTATCCTTTAACTCCATTGTTCTTCTTGACTTTTTAAAAATTAACATTAATTAATACTTTTTTGCCTTTTTAATAGGATCTTTCAAGTCAGGATGCCATCATGAACTTGAAATCCTGTTATATTTGTAGTGAATACTAATGAACAGAATAAGCAAGTATAATATCTTGTGTAAATCGAGTATTTTAAAATTTCCATTGTGTTAGTAATCATCATAGTTTGCTTAGTTTTCTGTAGTTCTTTACAAATATTTATTAGGCCAGGTGAGGTGGCTCACACCTGTAATCCCAACACTTTGGAAGGCCGATGAGGCAGATTGCTGGAGGTCAGGAGTTCGAGACCAGCCTGGCCAACATGGTGAAATCTCATCTCTACTGAAAATACATAAATTAGCCGGGTGTGGTAGCACGTGCCTGTAATCGCAGCTACTAGGGATGCTGAGGCAGGAGAATTGCTTGAACTTGGGAGGCAGAAGTTGCAGTGAGCTGAGGTTGTGGCATTGCACTTCATCCTGGGTGCGGTGAGACTCCATCTCAAAGTACATAAATGAATATTAGTAATTATATACCTCTTTTTGGTACTCCAAATGTCAGTTGCTTCACATTTTGGTTTTTATCCAGTCATCAATATATTGTTTGGCTTTGCAGTTGCGACAATCTTATGCTTAAAGTGTTTGTTTCCTTAGGTAATAGGCATCCGTTAAACAGGAAAAATCTTACTTTATCTCATGATGATAAAGTGGGATTTGATATGAGTTGATCATGATTTGGACTCCAACAAACATTTCTCAAACAGAATGAAAGAGTACATTTACAATGGCAGGGTACATTCAGTACAATTCTTTTCTGTGTTCTTTCAGAATCCTATATCAATTCCACAGTATTTATGTTCTTTTAACATATAGAATACTTGTATGTAACCATACTCCTTCCTGTGTTGTAAATACAACAAAACTCAGCTGTGTCATAGTATTTATTTGGTTTCTGACTTTTTTTAATAGTTTTATTTATAGTTTTATATTACTAGTATTAGAACTAGGGCTAGACATTGGGATATATGAATATTAGGGTTGGGCAGAGCCTGATGAAACTGAGGAGGAGTAGCCATAGGGATATGGGGGGAACCAGTAATGTGGTGCATTGGGTTAGCACTGGAAAGAAAAGTGGCCATAGGTGTCAAATATTATTCAGTGAACTGAATGAGATAAGAATTTAAAGCTGATAATCCCCTTCATTATACACATTGCTATCAGATTTATTTTCTGAAAGCATACTTCCAGACATGTAATTGTAACTTTAAAACTTGTAAGTACTTCCCTGGCCTGCTGCATTGAGTTCTGATTTCTCATGCTGCTGTGTGCTGTTCAAGACCCTGTACTGTCCCCATACTACTTTCTCTACTTGAATTTAGATAGACCTGGATTGTATTATTAAGTGGTATTGGGTTGACATATTTGTTCCTGGCTTGACGGTACGTTGAGAGTTTAGTGACTAGCCCTAGTGGTGTTAGATGTATTTATAACAGAATGGTATTTTATTTTTGGAACTCCTGACTTCAAGTGATCTACCTGCCTCTGCCTCCCAAAGTGCTAGGATTGCAGGCGTGAGCTACTGAGCCAGGCCCTTAACTTGAAATTCTTAAGACAAAGTGACTGTTGCCTGCCTGCCTGCCTTCTTGCCAGCCTTCCTGCCTTTCTCCCTTCCTCTTTGCCTCCCTTCCTCCTCTGTTCCCTCTCCTTTCCTTTCCTTTCTCTTTTCTTTTTTTAATTTTACAATTATCTGCTGGCCAAGGCATGGATACAGGCAGGGAGAAACAGTGATAAATTCCATGTTCTTTCTTTGTTAGTGCTTGAGAAGGTACATTTTCTGCTTAATTAACACAAAATATAAAGCATTTTATGTTTTATATTATTTTATATTTTATTAACACAAAATAAAAAGCATGTAGTTTTTGTGTCTTGAGCAAATAATTTTTTTTTTTTTAATTAGACAGAGTCTCGTTCTGTCACCCAGGCTAGAGTGCAATGGCGTAATCTTGGCTCACTGCAACCTCCACCTCCTGGGTTCATGCAGTTCTCCTGCCTCAGACTCCTGAGTAGCTGGGACTACTGGTGAGTGCCACCATGCCTGGCTAATTTTCTGTATCTTTAGTAGAGATGGGGTTTCACCATGTTGGCCAGGCTGGTCTTGAACTCCTGACCTGCAGTGATCTGCTCACCTTGGCCTCCCAGAGTTGCTGGCATTGCAGGCGTGAGCCACTGTGCCTGGCAGCATTTTTTTTTTTAAGCTCATCTGTTTATATCATTTGAACCCTTGAAGTGATGACTTTTGGTAAATATTTCAGAGAAAATGTTGCTTGTGTCTACATTTCTAAGAGGATTTGAGGCAGCAATCTTGTATTACATTTACCTTTTTTTTTTTTTTTTGTGATGTAGTCTAGCTCTGTCACCAGGCAGGAGTGCAGTGGGGCGATATTGGCTCACTGCAACCTTCTCCTGGGTTCAAGTAGTTCTTCTGCCCTTAGCCTCCTGAGTAGCTGGGATTACAGGTGTGTGCCACCACGCCTGTAGAGAAGGGGGTTTTACCATGTTGGTCAGGCTGGTCTTGAACTCCTGGCTTGAAGTCATCCCCCACTCCGCCTCAGCCTCCCAAAGTTCTAAGATTACGGGCATGAGCCACCTTGCCTGGCCTACATTTACTTGTTAACTCTATTAGATTGTAAACTGTTAGAGGCAGGAATGCCCTCTTTTGAGCCTTGAATCAAGCTTCCAGTGCTTAGGCCGTATTGCTCATATTATTATTAGCTGTTCAATAAATAAGGTGATTTAAATTTTATCCCAATGAGTTCATATTGTTTGCAGTATATTTCCAAACTAAAACTTGCCAATCTAAAACAAAAACAGATTTCATAGGCTGATTAGAATACATTTCAGGAATGACTCAGCCTGCTTCAGTGTTATGAGGAAAGAACAGCTCAATAAGTAGATATTTGTTTACTTTATGGAGGGTCAAGCTTATTTTTTTGTGGTAGTGAAGTTTATATGAAAGTTAAGTTCATTGTAAGTTTTGAAGTTCAATTATATTTTGTGTTGCATCTTTAATATTATTAGTCTCAAAAATTGAGAATTAAAAGCATCTTGTTTCCAGATTATCATGCTTTTTTCAGCTTATTTTTTTTTCTTTTTAGGAGGCTGAACATACCATATTTATGTATATGTGTATATGCACTTACATGTATAGCAATTTCATATGGAATAATTTAACAAATAGAATAATTTTTTTAATTTCTTGCTCTGATTTTTATGATAAAAGTCTAAGTAAAGCATAGAAAGGGTCTGGTGCTGTGGCTCACACCTGTACTTTTCATACTTTTGAGAGGCTGAGGTGGGCAGATCACTTGAGGTCAGGAGTTCAAAACCTGCCTAGGCAACATGGCAAAACCCTGACTCTATTAAAAATACAAAAAAATTAGCCAGGCATGGTAGTACACACCTGTAATCCCAGCTACTTGGGAGGCTGAGACACGAGAACTGCTTGAACCTAGGAGAGAAGTTGCAGTGACCCAAGATTGCACCACTGTACAGCCTGGGTGAAAGAGCAAGATTCTGTCTCAAAAAAGAGAAAAAAAGCATAGAAAGGTACTGACAACTTAAGAGGTGAACTGAAGAGGATGGGGTCTAACAAACTTCAGATTAGAGGAACATTAAAATGGAAGTTTTTAAACTGATAACCCAGATTTCTTAAAAATTTATGAATGCAGTTCATATTTCAGATAATCTGATCTGTATCTAAGCAGATCGTTTGATAACAGATAAGACATTGGACCAAAAATCTAAAACATAGGGAAGCAATAGACTTTTTTTTACTACCCTTTAGAGGCTGTGTTCCTTAGTCAGGTGTTTTTTTCTTTTTTCTTTTTCTTTTTATTATTTATTTATTATTTTTTTTTTTTTTTGAGACGGAGTTTCGCTCTTGTTACCCAGGCTGGAGTGCAACGGCGCGATCTCGGCTCACCGCAACCTCCGCCTCCTGCGTTCAGGCAATTCTCCTGCCTCAGCCTCCTGAGTAGCTGGGATTACAGGCACGTACCACCATGCCCAGCTAATTTTTTGTATTTTTAGTAGAGAAGGGGTTTCACCATGTTGACCAAGATGGTCTCAATCTCTTGACTTCGTGATCCACCCGCCTCGGCCTCCCAAAGTGCTGGGATAACAGGCTTGAGCCACCGCGCCCGGCCTTTTTTCTTTTTTAAATAGTAGGGCATTTACCATCCTTATCTGATGACCATAACTTTTAGTATTTATTTGAAGACAGATTTCTATGCAATGCTTAAGTACCACTGAAGCAGAATCAACAAGGGAAGTCTGTAAATCAGTTAGCACTCCATAGATGTCTACTACATATTAATAAAGTTTTGTTAATTACGTTAAAACAGTGAAGCAGACAATTCAGTGAAATAACATGTTTTTTAAAGTTAAAAACCTCAAAGAGTTTGCTTTTGTTTCATCTATTCGTTTGAAAACAAGCAATTCAAGAGGAACAGGAGGGAACAAATTGCTTCTTCCTTTTCAATTTGGATGCCTTTAAAAAAAAAAAAAAACTTTCTCACTGTGTTCCCCAGGTTGGAGTGCAGTGCTCTCTTCACAGGTACCATTATAGCATTCTACAACCTCAAACTGCAGGGCTCGGAATCCTCCCGTCCCAGCCTCCCAAATATCTGGAACTACAGGTCCTTTGCACTGTGCTGACTCAGGATTACTTTCATTTCTTTTCTTGCCTAGTTGCTGTGCTTAGGACATCTACTACAGTGTTGAATAGAGCTTGTGAAAGCAGGCATTCTTGTCTTGTTCCTGATCTTAAGGCGAAAGCTTTCAGTCTTTTACCAGTGGGGATGATGTGCTGGGGGGTTTTTTGTAGATGCTATTTATCAGGTTGGGCAAGTTTCCTTCTGGTTTGTTGAGTATATAATGAAAGGGTGCTGGATTTTGTCTAATGCTTTTTCTACATCAATTAAGATGAGCGTTTGGTATTTTTCATGTTATTAGTGTAGTGTATTATTGATTTTTGTATGTTGAATCACTCTTGCATTCCGGGGGAAATACTATGTATGGTGTTTGATCCTTTTAATATGCTGCTAGATTTGATTTCCTAGTGTTTTATTGAGGGTTTTTACTCTGTACTCTGGTTGTATTCCTTAGTTTATTGAGGTTAGAATTCCTTAGCTATTGGTTGATTTGGGGTGTTTTTGATGGCCTTTGTGATTTTAAAGCTTAAAGTTTTCTGAAATTATAAAGACAGTTTGTTATTCATTCTGATGGAATAAATTTGAGTTAAGTTTTTCTTTGATAACATGGCACAGTTTGGTAGGGTCAGAAATAAAAGAAATAGAAAATATAACTAGAAAATAAAAAATAGAAAATATAACAAGACTTAGAAAATGTCCCATCTATTTGTGTGTTTTTTTGTCAAAGTGTATTCTTTTTAAGTCTGAAAAAAAATTTTTTTTTTTTTTTAAATTAAAAGTTAGGCATGTGCACTTAGAGATGTACACTTAGGTTTTATTTTTTTTCAGAACCATCTTTTTCTCCTGGGGAAATTTTTATTCTCCGTGGATGTCATGAACAAATTGTAAATTGGGTGGCAGAGAAAAAAAATTAGGATTTTCCTACTAGCAGTGTTTATGTATCTTAAACTCTATGTCTACCTGGGATATTCAAATCTACAGTAGATTTATTTATTTTTAATTTTTTTTAAGCTAGTCAAATTTAGCAGTGGGCAACCAGTAGAAGATTTTTAAAAAGCTGTGGAACCCTGACTCATGGATTGTTTGTGGGACTGTTGATTTTGCCTTTTTTGGGGTGGAAGGTAGTTGTCTCCTGTATGTACCTGGTTGTTAGATGTGTAAAGGAAATATTTAATACATAAACGTTTTATTTCTAAAGTTGTTTGTATTAGTTTTAGTTGTTTGTATTAGGGCTGCCAGAACCAAATACCACAGACTGGATGGCTTAAACAACAAATTTGTTTTCTCAGTTTTGGAGGTTCTAAGTTCAGGATAAGAGGCATCAGCAGAGGGTTGATTGCTTCTGATACCTCTCTCCTTGGCTTGCAAATGACTGCATGCTTGCCGGCTCTTCAAATGATCCTTTTATCTGCATGTGTCCAAATTTCTTCTTACAAGGGTACAGTCTGATGGGAATAGAACTCATTCTAATTGTCTCATTTGTAATCACTTCTTTAAAAACTTTATCTGCAGATACGCTACATTTGAGGTATTGGGGGTTATGAGTTCAACATACAAATCTTTTTGATTGGTACACAGTTCAAACATGAACTGTGAAGGAAGATGAGACAAAATTAGATGGCACAGTGCAGTTAAGATGAGTAGTGTGGAACTTGTGAAACTTTAATTTGCCTTTATATACTTGTGTAAGTGCCATAACAATTAATATTGCTCTTTTACCTTTTTTCAGAACATGAGTTAACTTCTTTTTTTTTTTTTGAGATAGGGTTTTCTCTGTCACCTGGGCTGGAGTGCAGTGGTGTGAACATAGCTCACTGCAGCCTAGAACTCCTGGGCTCAAGCAATCCTCTTCCCTCAGGCTCCCTACTAGCTGGGACTGCAGGCATGGACCACCACACCCAGCTAATTAAAAAAATTTTTTTTGTAGAGATGGGAGTCTTACTATGTTGCCTACACTGGCCTTGAACTCTTGGGCTCAAGGATCCCTCCACCTCACTTCCAAAAGTGCTGGGATTACAGATGTGAACCTCCACACCAGGCCCATACTTCAGGAACTAGATTTAAATTAAAGTTAATGTAAAGACATTGCAGAAATGAATAGGTGATTTTAGTGATTTGCCTCCAGGGATAATTTTTGTTACATAACTGTTTACTTAATCATTTTGTATAATACCTTTTTGAAAAGTGATCAACTTTAAAAATTATGCTTAAGTTCTCTGAAGTTTATTATGAATTTTTATTTGGAACAAGCTTTTCGTTCCCACTGAATTACTGAAACTACAGTTTTAAGTGTTTTCAACATAAAGTTGTTGTTAAAGTGTATCACAAAGCACCATTTAGTTTTCATTTTTATTCCACAGAACTTTGAAATTTAATGCAAATAGGAATAAATAGAACTCTGAATGCCTGAATTTTTGTGATGTGCAGTATATTTTGGTTAACATAGTCTTAAAACTTGTATTTTGTTCATGAGTGTTGTTTCAGAATTTCTCTTAAGGTTTTCTCCCATGTGCCATAGGAGCATTTAAACATTTTCACTTCCATTGTCAATTTTATACTAGTTGTATTTACTTTTTATATCTGGTGACAACATCTTAACATTTCTACATTTCTTTCTTTCTTTTTTTTTTTTTTTTTTTGTTTTTGTTTTGGAGACGGTGTTTTGCTCTTGTTGCCCAGGTTGGGGTGTAGTGGCAGAATCTTGGCTCATTGTAACCTCCATCTCCCAGGTTCAAATGATTCTTCTGCCTCAGCCTTCTGAGTAGCTGGGATTACAGACACACGCCACCATGCCCAGCTAACTTTTCTTTATTGAATTTTTAGTAGCGACAGGGTTTCACTCTGTTGGCCAGGCTGGTCTCGAACTCCTGACCTCAGGTGATCTGCCCACCTTGGCCTCCCAAAGTACTACATTACAGGCATGAGTGAGCCACTGTGCCCGGCCTATGTCTTCCTTTTAAAACATCATAACCATACCATTATTATATCTAAAGTGACTATTTCTTAGTACTATTTAGTAATATCCAGCTTATGTTCAAAGTTCTGATTGTTTCATAATTTTCTTTTGTGTTTTATAAGGTTGGCTCGTTCACATAAAGGATTCATACAAGGTTCAGGATGTATTTAGTTCATCTGCCCACTAAAAGCCACTATTTGTTGTAGAAACCAGCTCATTTAACTTTTAGGTTTACCCCATGATCTGGATTTGGTGTATACTTCCCCTAGATGTTTTCTGACTTGTTCTCCATCTTGAATGTCCTGGTAATGGGTAGTTAAATCAGATTTCACATTTTGTTTTGGGTAGGCACAAGACTACATCATAGATGGTACTCTGTATTTCATTTTGGGTTATATCAGTAAACACTTGATGTCTAGTCATCTATTTGATTTTTTTAATAAAAAGCTATACTGAGGTATACTTTATGAAAACACCAGTTTTAAGTTTATAATTTGGGGTTTGACAAATATGTACAGTTGTAATAACCATTACAATCAAGATAATAGTTACCCAGACAATTCCCTCGTTTCGTACAGTCATTCCCCTTCCAAGCTGATCTATTTTCTATCACTATAGTTTTGTCTTTTCTAGATTTTCATTACAAATAGAATCCTATAGTAGTATGATCATTGTAATGTAAAGGTGATAATTTTGGCCAGGAGCTGCAGGTCTAATTCCTTCCATTTTTATGTGACAGGGACTTGCCATGAGGTGTTGAAGCCTTGTTTCACTGAGTTGGAGAGACTGGACCTAAATGGCGCAGCATGACTTTGCTCCAGCCTGGCTTAATTTCCCTACTCCACCATCATCAACAAAGGTACTCTTTTTGCATCTCTCTTTTTGTCTTTCTGTGTGCTTCTCTTGCATTCATTTTCTATACAAATGTAATTAAGTCATGGAGGAGTAATAATATCTTTGCAGAGAAGTACTTTTTATGGCCAGGTGTGGTGGCTCACGCCTGTAATTCCAGCACTTTGGGAGGCCAAGGCAGGCGGATCACCTGAGGTCAGGAGTTCCAGACCAGCCTGACCAACATGGAAAAATCCCATCTCTACTGAAAATATAAAATTAGCCAGGTGTGGTGGCACATGCCTGTAATCCCAGCTACTCAGGAGGCTGAGGCAGGAGAATTGCTTGAACCCGGGGGGTGGAGGTTGTGGTGAGCTGAGATTGCGCCATTGCACTCCAGCCTGGACAAAAGCCAAACTCCATCTCAAACAAAAACAAGAAAAACCCCAACATTTATATTACCATCTAAGTTATTTAATTTGTTGGTTCTATTAAATTTTTTTTTTTTTTTTTTGAGGCAGAGCTTTACACAATCTCGGCTCACTGCAGCCTACCCCTGCTGGGTTCAAGCAGTTGGTGTGCTTCAGCCTCCTAAGTAGCTGGGATTAATAGGTGTGGGCCACCATGCCTGACTAAATTTTGTGTATTTATTAATAATAGAGGCTTTGCCGTGTTGGCTAGGTTGGTCTTGAAATCTTGATGTCAAGTGATTCGCCCAAGTTGTGGGATTACAGGCTTGTGTCACCATGCCCAACTCGTTCTATTAGTTAAAAAGGCAGTTTTTTTTTTTTTAAATTATACCATCAGTGTACTAAGCCATTTATTTCAAAGTTGTCTTTGGTGGCAATCAGTCTTTCACAAATTTTAGTTTAGAACAGTCACATACTTTGAACAGAGCATCTTACCTTTTTCTATACTGTTTTTTACTCTTATATGGATTGCCTTGTTAATATTGATAACATACATGGTGTACTTCAGTTCGCAAAGTGCTTTGCTGAACATTATATAATTTGTTCATAATTCCATGAATGTGGTGATTTAGAATTATTCTTAGTTCCTGCTGTACTCATTTTAAATATTGACCTCCTTTATCCATGATGTAAAGTAAAATGATTGAGGTGCAGAGTATAAAGGGTTTCTGCACAGTCACTTTGGAATGAGGGTGATTTATCTGCGTTCTCTGTCTTTCCTCATCTTTCTGTAAAGCCGTTTGCCTCATTTGGTATCAGACCTATCTGTTAGTCTCCATTAGTTCCCAGCTGATTGCTCTATTGTTTTCATTAATGCGCAGGGGCTTAAATTGATCTGTGCTGTGATCCACTTTAGTTATGGCAGGAGAGGTTTTTGGGCCCAATCTCCTGAGGTTGGTTCTGACCCTAGTGGGGCTCTTCTTAAGTATCTCTTTCCCAGGTTCATTCAGAACTAGCTGGCCTGTTATTCAGCTTAGCTACCTGCCTCTTATTTTCTTACTACCAGTATCTCTATGTTTTTGAGAGGGCTCTTACTGTTTGAATAAAGCTAGTTCCTTTGAGAGACTGCGTCTCACTCTTGGCAAAATCTTTGAGTCACTACTCCACGCATTGGATGACGCAATAGCCTGAGTCTTCTCAGTTTGTTAAAGTGCCAAACTACTACCTATTAGATAGCTGGAGCAAGAGCATTTGGGGCCTCAGTGTTCTTGTGCTCATGAACCTGGGGTAGAGCCTTCATTCTATGAGTGGGGTTTGGGTGAAATAAAGTAGCCCTAGATTTCTTGACTGTAGTTATCAGGAATGTAACTTCTTCAGTTGGAATTGGAGAGGGTGAGAAATGTTGGCAGCCTGCCTCTCCTAGTAAGGGGTATGTACCCCTTGTTTAGGAGATTGAGGGGATGGAAACCTGTCTTCTTGATCACAGCTGCCCAAATTAGATGGGGGAACGGGTAGTGAATTGTAGCTCAAGTGCTACAGACTCTTGGAATTGAGTTTTAGTAGTTCTAAACAAGTACAAGTGGCAAAAACAAAAAACAAAACACTGTGGCCGGGTGTGGTCGCTCACACCTGTAATCCCAGCATGTTGGGAGGCAGACGTGGGTAGATCACTTGAGGTCATGAATAAAAGACCGGCCTGGCCAACATGGCCAAACCCCATCTTTACTAAAATACAAAAATTAGCCAGGTGTGGTGGCATGTAATCCCAGCTACTCAGGAGACTCAGGCATGAGAATTGCTTGAACCCGGGAGGCCGAGGTTGCGGGGAGCCAAGATTGCGCCACTGCAGTCCACACTGGGTGGAGGGAGACTGCCTCAGAAACAAAATAAAACAAAAAACACTAAAAGTCTGAAAATTATTTTAGGGCACATAGCAAAGGAAGAAACATTTATTCAAGAAAATCTGAAAACTTTGTATTTCTGTACTTTTTTTTTTTTGATAACCTGCTTTACTTTTTCCCTATCAAGATTTTTCAAAGCCTTTTCATATATCTGGAACCCTTTTTCCTCTGCATAAATAAGGCTTATGAATGACTCATGACTAAAATTTCAGGAATAATGTGAACTTTGTAATATCATTATATATTAGGACTCACTAAGGAATGTTCATTTTACTTATATAAATAAAAATAGAATAGTTTTTTACAGATACATTTAGAGACATTCAGGGTGGTTGATTGCAAAGTATTAAAATTGTCTGTTTTTAAGATGTGCTAAGAAATTTTTGAAACAGATGCTAGAAATGGGCTTTTTTGATAGATTATATGCCACTAGTGATTTCTTTTCTTTGTTGTACCCGAGCAAGTCAAGGAATGCACCACACTCAGAGATTGAATTATGAGTCCTTTATTATGCCAGCGACCAAGAGGTGGCTAACGCCCAAAATTCTCTGGCCCCTAAGAAAAAGTTAGGTGGTCTTTCATACTCTACGTAAAGGGGAGGGGGAGGAATCTAGCTGAAGCAAATTTTTCACAAAAGCAGAATAAGCAAAAAGTCCAAAAATAAACTAGTACATGAGAAATAAAACAGTGCCAGGTGCAAGGGGTAAAGTTGTCATAAAAGACATACAACTTACAGATAATGGGGGCTCTGGGCACTCGACAGCACCTGCATTCCCAGGCTCTGTTGGTAACTCGGCCTTTTATCAACAAATGCATTCCTGGAGGTGCCCAGTGTCAGCCTGCTCCAGCTATGTACTATAGTTACATACTTAATGGTGGGAAAAAAACTAAAATGAAGAAGCTAAGATGGAATCTGTCTGGCTCAAAAAGCTAACATAAAGCCTGAACAACTTTTAGTCTGAGTTAGTTTTAGCTGGCAAAAAAGCAGGTTATCACGTTTTTTTTTTTTTTTGGAGATGGAGGTTTGCTCTTGTCGTGCAGGCTGGAGTGCAATGGTGAGAACTCGCTCACTGCAGCCTCCACCTTCCAGGTGGAAGTGATTCTCCTGCCTCAGCCTTCTGAGTAGCTTAAGGTTACAGATGCCCACCACCAGGCCTAGCTAATTTTTGTATTTTTAGTACAGAGGAGGTTTCACCATATTGTCCAGGCTGATCTGGAACTCCTCACCTCAGGTGACCTGCCTGCTTTGGCCTCCCGAAGTGCTGAGATTACAGGTGTGAGTTAATAGTCTGATTACAAAGTGGAAAATAGTGGCATATTCTGATAAAAAGTAATAACTTTTTGATTAGGTCATTTTGTTAGTAGGGGATCTTTATGATGGGCCTTCCTTCCACCACTATCTAGTGTGTAGACTGCAGATGATCAGAGATCCACCTGTAACTGTCTAAATATTTGCCTCTACATAATGATACGAGAATACAAAGAGCCAATATAATAATATTTTCAGAAATAGCATATTAATTTTCTTGGGCCAGATGCGATGGCTCACACCTATAATCCCAGCACTTTGGGAGGCTGAAGCTGGAATCTCTTGAGGCCAGGAGTTTGAGAGCAGCCTGGGCAACATGGTGAAACCCTGCCTCTCTACAAAAGTAAATAACCAAATAAAATAAATGAAAATTTTCACACAGATTGAGTTTATTAAAGATTATCTTTCTTATAAATACTAGTTAATTTCTTATCACTTATAAAATTTTTTATAGTAATTTATACTTTTGGTTCAGTCATGATGGAAGGTAATTTCTGTAGGTGTTTTGGCTTTTCTAGACTTTGACCTATGCAAAAGGAAAAAAAAAAACACCAAAAACGGTTTTTCTTCTCTACTCTCAACACAGAACATATCTGTGGCCAAATACGTTGAAGTTCCCCCCGCTCCCCACCCCAAAGCAGTAGCAGACATTACCTGGGTATCCTATAATTTATTTCAGTTCTGACTGACACTGTCTGCTTGGCATGGTGTCAGATCCCACAGTCCCACAAGACTGCCTTCACTTCAGATGCTACTAGCCAGTCCCAGTAGTCACCACTACTTCTCACTGGTTTCAAACCAGGGTTTCTGCAACCACCCCACTGGATCTGAACCATTTGCTAGGATGGCTCAAAGAATTCAGGGAAACGACTTTTGCTGGTTTATTATAAAGAATACAGGTGAATAGATTGATATGGTGACGTATTGGGTGACGGGAGGTGGTGTGTGGACCGTTCATGCCATGTCTGAGTATATCACCCTCCCAGTACTTTCATGTGTTCAGCAATTGGTCTGTGGTTTGGGCTGAAAGTTTATACCCTCTAATCCCTTGATTTTTCCTGTTACTGCCCTATGCTGAGACTATCAGGGGCCCCAGTCTAAGTGGCCATTAACATAAACTTGAGTTATCACAGGGACTTGATAACTTGGTTTTAGCTCAAGTGATTTACCTACCTCTGCCTCCCAGAGTGCTGGGATAACAGGTGTGAGCCATGGCACCTGGCCCGGAAACAATTGTAATTTGGATTTTTTTTTTCTCCAATAAGGACTTAACCAGGTCCTAATAAATTTTGGCCATGTGTTGAAAAGATACACTGAAATGACAAAATTCTTTGTTAGAATAGAATTTTAGGTTTTGAAGATGGATCGTAGCAATCATTGAAACCTTCTTATTTTATACAGATTTTGG